AAATTATGTGGTTAAGCTGTTGTTTAAATGCTAGTTATGGATAATTATTTGATTATAGATCTAATCCGAACTTAATAGACTTAATCATTAAAAGGGTTTTGATTTAGATCTTTTATCCCATTTGGGTTTTGGTTTTCTTAACTGAGTTGTTTAAGATTTAACAAATCTGTTTGTATGATGCCGATTAAGAAGTGAATTTGATGTTTCTGAATATAAATTATGTTGGAAATTGTAATTAAATTGTGTTTTTTTTAGATTACCGAAACAACCGATGTCAATGAGCTGCTGGAGAAGGAATCGTGGCTTTCGTCTTCCAAACTCGTTGTGAAGCCTGACATGTTGTTCGGAAAGCGTGGGAAGAGCGGTTTGGTTGCCCTGAATCTTGATTTTGCTCAAGTTGTCGAATTTGTGAAGGAGCGCCTAGGCAAAGAGGTATTTGATCTCCACATTGTTTCGTCAATACATAAGTTCCTTGTGTGTGTTTTGCATTTGATCTTCATAAGAAATCGAGAATTGGGCTTACATGTTTCATTCTTTTGGCGTTTCAGGTCGAGATGGGTGGCTGCAAGGGACCAATAACCACGTTCATTGTCGAACCCTTCATTCCCCACAACGAAGAGTTTTACCTTAATATTGTCTCAGACCGACTTGGAAACAGCATAAGCTTCTCCGAATGTGGAGGAATTGACATTGAGGAGAACTGGGATAAGGTATTTTTGGATGTCAATTTGTTACCAAATTCTTATTCAAATGCTATTCTTTGTTATTTTCAACAAAAAGATAAAAATTCCTAGAAGTGGATCTTCTATCAGCTCTATTTGTCCACCTTAACGCTCCATATGTTTAAAAGAAGTATACTTTGTGCAGGTAAAGACCATATTTGTCCCTACTGGAGTTGCTTTTTCATCAGAAGTGTCTGCTCCACTTGTTGCAACCCTACCCTTGGAGGTAAGTCCTTTTATTGACATGGTATTTCGGTATCCTTTCTGTATGGTTTACTTCTGACCAGGAAGAAACAAATAATGCACTCGATTTTGCTTAATGCGTCATCAGATGCTGTTTCTCTGTTGAGTTCATGTCCATTTTGGTTTAAATTGGAAATCACTGACAATTATTATTCTTGAATATAGATCAAAGCAGAACTCGAGGACTTTATCAAAGCCGTATTTGCTCTATTTCAAGGTGTGTTAAAAACTTTTGACGGTTCCATTTTGTAATGGAGTTGTTAGAACTTAAAAGGACAATTTTGCTAATTATCATTATGTTACAGATTTGGACTTCACATTTCTGGAGATGAATCCTTTTGCATTGGTTGATGGAAAGCCATATCCTTTGGATATGAGAGGCGAGCTGGATGACACTGCTGCTTTCAAGAATTTCAAAAAGTACATTTCATTCACTTCAGTTGTTTTACCTTCTCTATTTTGTTATGTATATGCCAAGCTATTTACTAATGTTTTAGCAAACCACTTTCAATACCAAGTTACCAACTTACATTTTTTTTATGTTCAGGTGGGGCAGTATTGAATTCCCAATGCCTTTTGGAAGAGTTATGAGTCCTACAGAGAAATTTATTCACGGGCTAGATGAAAAGGTACACACTCAACTTTTAAATGAGTAATGTATTTATACTTTCTGTTAATAATCAGTAAATACAATGTGTCTAGATGTTCCGAATCCTTTGTTTCTATCTAGGAAAGGAAGTTGCGTCTTCTTGGCACTACCAAGAAGTCAGCTGATTCCTAGTTTGTCTTTCATTTTCACTATGTAGCCCGAAAGCCAGGATTCCTGCTGTTATGGTTTATCTAAAATTCTAAGTGCATGTCACTAGGATTGTATTATAGAGTTCAAACCTTTCTGACCTCTGAGAAATAAAGGTCCTCTTTTCCCAGTCAACTGGTCTGCCTGTATTTATTCTTTAAATTGGAGACCTCATCCTTAATGTCTCTCATTTGTAATTTCATATTGGTAATGTTTATCACATCTCATTGGATAACATCCATTTTAGTAGCCCTGCCATTGTTGATTTATTAAGTTTATTTGTGATTTTCTTGCAGACAAGTGCATCTTTGAAATTCACAGTTCTGAACCCAAAGGGGCGAATTTGGACTATGGTCGCAGGAGGAGGTGCAAGTGTCATCTACGCAGACACGGTGTGTGTACATAAGATTTAGAAGTTTAACAGGATTTGAACCCCGTAGCTTTTTGACATTTTGTTTCGTTGGCATTAATTGCTCACCAAAATGATTTTCTTTGGTCAGGTTGGAGATCTTGGCTTTGCTGATGAGCTTGGAAACTATGCTGAATACAGTGGAGCACCCAATGAAGAGGAGGTGTTGCAGTACGCCAGAGTTGTGATTGATGTAAGAACAATTAATTTTTGCCGTGCATCATTATTCTTCATAAACGTCAAGCCACACAAGCATATGCACCTCATATTTTGTTGTTTAATACTAATCTTATGCCTTGTACAGTGTGCAACTTCTGAGCCTGACGGTCGTAAGCGAGCCCTTGTAATAGGAGGAGGTATTGCTAACTTTACCGATGTTGCTGCAACATTCAATGGCATTATTCGTGCCTTGAAGGAGAAGGTGAGCTTAATCTTCTAGTTTAAATCCTTTTTTATGGCGAATAATGTTCTGTTCTCATCCTTTCGAAGTACGAAAATTGACAATGGCATATTTGATTACTCCAGGAATCTAAGCTTAAAGCCGCACAGATGCATCTTTACGTCAGGAGAGGAGGCCCCAACTACCAGAGGGGGCTTGCAAAAATGCGGGCACTTGCAGAGGAAGTCGGCCTCCCTATTGAGGTACCAAATATTTTTCAAATCTCCACTGATTAGGCAGACATGCAGAGCTCACACTAAAATTCATTTCCGAAGAACTTGTCTGACATTTATTCTTCTGTTTCTGTGTTCCCTTGCAGGTCTATGGACCCGAAGCAACAATGACCGGTATTTGCAAACAGGCAATTCAGTGCATCACCGCAGCTGCATAAGTTATCGTTCAGATTGCTCGCACCCTCGCTCTCCCCTTTCCTTTTCTTTTCTTTCTTTAGTGGCAAGTTTCGCATCTTCATTAAATCCTTGTACCAATTACGTTCTATCAAAAACCTAAGCCAAGTTAATGTAGTTTTTACGTGCTAATGGGTGAATGGTAACGTGATGATGTTGTATGATGATCTTATTACCGTAATAAAAAAGTTTACGTTGTTATTCATTTCGTTTCTACGCATATGAACCCTTTTTCTTCAAAGACAAAAACAAACTTGCAAAGAGATCCCAGAGGGATAACTATCAACTATGGGCGTTAAATCTCACAACAGCATACAAGGCACATTCACTGGAAATTTAGAGGTCATTTTTGTAATACGCAAACGTTGCAAGTTATTTGACGCTACATCGTCTCTTACCACATAATACAATGATACCATTACCATGCTTGCAACAAAGACAGTCGAAGAAAAATCAAAGCAGTCCCCACAAGAAAAACTTATGGGGAAAGCTACAAGTGATGCATTTTCCTTTGGATATGAGCCATCAACAAATTAATGTAGGATGGAGACATGGGGGTGTGGGTAATATGATTTGACCGTAAGAAAAAGATGGGATATATGAATTCTTACTCTTTAGCTTAATGTGTTCTCTTTGGTTTCTTGCTGTATTTCTTCCTTTATTATTTATTAACCTCTTCGAACGTTCGCGCGTGCATGGATGGAGTCTTTCTTTTTTCACGCATTTTACATGCGACTTAGATATGTTATATTTCCTTTTATTTGCAACTGTATGTCATATTTTATTTTAGACGCAGTATGAGAAAGAAAACAGCTAACATAACACATCTTAAGGGACGAGTAGCACCCGTAATTAGAAAAGGGGTCTCTCGCATGCACATGAACACGTGTAAAGAGACTACTAATTCTATGTATAATGGATTTTCTACCTAGTGAAATAAGATAAAAGAAGAAAGTTGAATTACACAATTGATACGTGCCATCCATATGGCTTCTTTTTTCCGAAGTGGTTAAACTTGAATGATCCCATGTTAGGGAAGCATCCACATGGAACTAGTAATTTCCTATTACGTGGCATTCTAGTTCAATAATACATTGTTTTGTGTAAATTTTCTTTTCATATAACGATGTATTATTGAACTGAGACGTCCCGATAAGGGTAAACATTTTCTATACAAGTTTCCCATCATACATGTAACATGGTATTTTGAATCCATAAAGAATCAATGCATGTCATGAGTCATAAGTTAAGAGTTAAGACCATTCAAAGAGTGGCTCGCTAGCTAGCTAGTCTCTGCCCTTTTGAGTTGAATATTGAATCAAGAAGTCTTCGTTTGTGTAGTTTGGACCGGACAAATTTGTCCAAGGTGGTTGGCTGGCTAATACTTCTGTTGGCTAGGTCATCTACACCTCTCTGGGATTATACTACTTCTGGATTAAATCATAAAAAATGTGGTTGGTTGGTGGTGAAGCCCCAACATGGACGGCGTGAATTGATCCTCTTATTTGTTCACCAATATCTAGTCGTGGTCAGGTCCACCGCCCCGCCCTACTCCACCGGTCACCTCGCGCTTCTCTGTTTTTTATTCTCTAATTATTAACATGTTTTTTTCTTTTTGTTCAAAATGAATTTTTAATGTCTGCTACAGTCTAGTATTATTAATACTACGATTTAATGATATTCTTCATTATTTATAAGTGAAAAATCTTAAGCCCTATTATCACAAAGAAGAATTTAAATCACATTATTACTAATTTGTTGTAAAATTAAATGTAATCTTAATTTAGATAATACTGTTCGTTAAAAAAATAATTAAAATTAAGCCTAGTCTTAGTCAAGAAACTTGACCCAAAAAAACGTCTTAGTCAAAAAAGTATGAATTCTATCCGCTTCACGCTCCCCATATAGAGATCCCGCCACGCACAGCTTTCCAACTAATCATCTCCCTCTCTCTCCTTCCTTTCTCTCTCTAAAACAATTAGCAATGGCGTTGCATGTTCAAATTCCGACCAAAATCTCCAGCATCGAAGACCAGGAAGAAGCTCCACTCTACGGAGACATCTTAGAGGCCATACTCTACCACGTGCCTCTCCTTCATCTCGTTCCTGCCTGTCACGTGTCAAAGTCCTGGAACCGCGCCGTCTCCTCCTCCCTCCGCCACCTCAAACGAAACGTCAAGCCCTGGCTCATTGTCCTCGCCCAAACCATCAGGTTTCCCTACAAGATCAACGCACGTGCCTACGACCCTGCCTCGCACGCTTGGATCGACATCCACTTTCAGCCGTCCATGAAATCCATCTCCACCCTCCGATGCTCCCACTCCACACTCCTCTACATGCTGTCTCCCTCCAAATTCGCCTTCTCAACCGACCCCCTCCACCACACGTGGAACCACGTGGACGCCCCGTTGGTCTGGCGCACCGACCCGATTGTCGCGCTGGTGGGCCACCGCATAGTCGTCGCAGGTGGCACCTGCGATTACGAGGACGACCCCCTGGCCGTCGAAATTTACGACACAAGGGAGCGCACATGGGGAACGTGCAACTCAATGCCCGCTATCCTCAAGGACTCGGCTGCCTCCACGTGGCTCTCTGTCGCCGTCGACGACAGCAAAATGTACGTGACGGATAAAAACACCGGTTTGACCTACACCTTCGATCCCGATTCCAATACGTGGTGTGGACCATACGATCTGTGTCCCGACAGGACGGTGTTCGGCGCCGTCACCGGATTCGCTAATGGCCGCTTTATTTTGGTGGAGGCGGTCGGAAGCGAGGGGAATTTGACAACCATGAAAGTGTGGGAAGTGAACGGGGTGTCGCTTGAGTGCAAAACTTTGATCGGGGAGATGCCGCCGGCGATGGTGGAGAAGCTGAAGGGCGAGACCGACTGCGCGGGGACGGTTTCGATGAGCTGCACGAGAGATATGGTGTGCCTGCATAACACTTTGTCGCCGGAGGAGCTGATCCTCTGCGAGCTTGTCGACGACGGGTGCAGGTGGGGGAGCGTAGGGAATGCGGTTGTGAACGACGGCACCCGAATGCAGAAGTTGGTGGTGACGTGTTCGAATGTTGGTCTACCGGATTTGCATAAAGCCGTACAACTTGGAGCGCTGAAAGTTGTTTGAAAAAGGCAGCAAGAATCATGGCGGAAGATTAATCGTATATAAGGAATATTTTTTTTATATTTTTTTAAAAGAATTATATGGAATACTATCAATTTACCAAGAACTATGTTGTTTTGAGAGCTTTCGTTGAATTTAATAAATCGAAATAATCGTGACATATGTTACATTAAAGGGTAATGCTAATAATTTAATCATTAACACCACGTTATTTGATTCAGTTTAAAAATTAGCTAAATGGGACTAATGGTTTTCATGGGGTAACCAAAAATAGTTTCGTAAAAAAATTCAAATTTAAACCCTCATAGTGTTAGAATTATGTCTTTTATAAAAAGTCTTATTGTTGATCTCCATTTTCTACAGAACATTCTGTCTTTGATCACGGCTGGTCCATGAATTGGACATTTCAGTCAAAATGTAGTTGGTGACTTCGTCACGATAGTCTATCATTTTAGAGGTCATGAAGTCGCACAGAAGCATTTTAACCTTTCCAATCACCATCTTGTGATCCACTAGCATCATAAATCCAATCCAAGACGTGCCGTGTGGAATACAAGTCTGAAATTTGTCTCCAAACACTCGGCCACCCCGTGGTGGTTATTTGGTTCTTTCACTTTCATCAAATTTTCTGTAAGTGATGAATCCGGATCCTCTTTGTGAAAAAACGGGAAACCCGTGAATTGTGTCCTTTCATCGTACATTATGTAGTCAGAAATCATTTTAATATTTTTTATTTAAAATTAAACACAAATAGTACCAACAAAAACTAACCGCATGATATACAATGAACGGACACGATTCATAAATCTCCATGATCCTCACAAAGAGTATCCTGTTAACTAATTGATAGACAAAAAAAATCATATGGTGCCACCTAGATTATTATAAAAATCTTCTAAAACGATTTAAAACTTAAACCAACAAAGCTAAAAATAAATATAAATAATAAACTAAAAACATAAATACAAAACAAAAAACATCATCTTCTTCGTCTGAGTTAGGGTTATGAATTAGGTAAGGATAATGCTAAGGAGATTTAATTTATAATAAAAGTTACAAACTAAATGATTTATTATCAATAGATATGAATATGTTTGTCAACGCTTAAATAATAATTCAATCATAAACTTTTATGTCAATTAATTTATAAACTTTTATCTACAAATTTAACAACTTTAGCATTACCCGTTAGGTAACAATGAATTATCATGCTTTGGGTGTGTGGAAGGTTGGGAATCGCAAAGTAATGATGTATTTAGAAAGATTTCAATAGATGAATTATTACGCTCCATATCCAACCACCCCCAAAAAGAAGAACAATGGAATCGATGAATTACAAAAGAGTAATGATAGATAGACTAAATTTAATACAAAATTTATAAATTAAATGATGTATCATAAATATAAAATAAACATGTTTCTCAACGTTTAAATAATAATCAAATTATCAACTTCTACATCATTTAATTTACAAAATTTTGTCTTCAATTTGATCTCATATCATTGCAATTTGATCTCATAGCATTGCTCATTACAAAATGAGAGTCAAAATCGAAGGCTAATGAATCCGACAGCTGGGTGTCGAATAAGAGCTCCGGAGGGACGGAAATTCGGGGTCTTGGCAGACAATAGGCAGGACAGGAAGCAGCTGCAGATTGATGAGCAACTTAAGTCTGCTAAGTTAAGGAGGTGGCGATGTAGTTGCAACCAATAAAAATTTGACTAGCATTAGCTGAATTTGATTACATAGCTATTTCCGATCATGTATATATATGATTACATAGCTGAATTTTTCGGTATAAGCTTTTAGTGCATAAGAAAGTAAACAACCTCCTCTGCTAACCAAACAAGGCATTTCATTGAATGAAGCCCACTTCCTCCTAGAATAATTAAAAAGTCAATTTTTTTTGTCTTTCCTCAAAGATAATGTCTACTAAAAATGTTTCAAATTTGATACATATAATTGTTGGATTAAACGATCGACATTTTAGAACTTGTTTGAAAGTATTTTTTTAAATTGTTAAAAACGTTTTTAAATAAAATACTTTTAATACCAAATCTTAAATAAAAATACAAATAAATCTAAAACGGTCAAGAGATTCCAGCAGAAAAGATCCACTTGGAATATATGAATGGCTGCAAGCCTGCAACATCCTCTTCATGTTGGCATCAAGTATTCGAATCTCAATTGGACCACGAAATAAGTGATCCCTCTCCATTTTTATTTAATTTTATGCAAATATATCCATATATAATATCTTAGTTTCGGTTAAGGGTAACACACAATGGCCCCAGTTATAAATCTGCTGAGTGGACAGATAGATCTGGAGTTTGGAACAATGCATTACAATATATGTGTTTGATCATGCTATGAACATTATTGGGAAAGTAAAGGATGGCAAGCAAAGTGAAAGGATTGATTTACTCTACATAAAATAACTACCATAATAATTTAGTATCGAATTCATTATTTACGAGTTTCAAATAATTGTGACAAATAAATGAATCGATGCACCAGTGTTGTTACCTTCTACGGTCTTTCAAACTCACAAAATAATTTAAGGAAGTGATATTTATAATTTATTAATAACAAAACACAAGTATAAGAATGTGTCAATTGTGCATCTTCTCCAGTGATCCAACAAACGCATACTAAACAAACAAAAAATTACTAAAAACTCAATCACCGCTACACCACTCACTGTATTAGCAATAGAGAAAAAACTTGAATGTTACTAGATCGTATTCTATAACAATCGTTCGTATACAACAATCGTCACGTGATGTTTATGCATCTCGTATCAATTACGAGAGACAAGCTTCATTGTCAACGGCAAGCAAACCGATTTTTATACATTTTGTATCAATCAGCAACGTATGCATGAATTAACAAGGGCTAATATTCTGCCCAAATAGCATTTATACCAATCCTATCTACATGCGTATGCAGTTGCATGACTGCAACATCCTCTTTCTGTATTATCACAACAATTTCGAATCTTCAAAGCCATGGGACCATGAAATAAAATCTCTTATCTTCTTTTATTCATGGGCTAACCACAGTTAGCATCCTCTTTCTCGCATTAACTTCTAAGATATTGAAATTGTGTTAATTTACACAGTTTGTCTAATAGTTATGTGAATTTTATTTAAATTGATGGTATGATGAGCATAAAATTCGTAATGGGTTGACATGTAAGTCACGTTTGCACCACATTGACTAAAAAACTCATCAATGTGATGGATAATTAGAAGTTCAAATAGACAAATGTGTAAATGAATACAATTTCAAAACTTTAAAGAGGTAATGTGTACAAATTAAAACTTCGTGACTCATTTTAAGAATCACTTCAAATTTTGAGGGTGGAAAATACATGTAGCCCTTTTTTCTTATGAAATAGTTCCATCAAACTCATATATCTTAGCATTTCTCGTTTACCGTATGACTTCACTTATAAGTGCAACATTTTTTATAACGTGGTTAGTTTTGAGTGTCGGCGAAGAATAGAGAAGTGCAAATTGGTGGTGTAAAATGGACAAATATGATTTTACAAAGAAACTCTGAAAAAGTGATATAAAAATCACTTATGTTTCTTTTTTGTACCAATAAGAATGGAAAAGTGAATTTTAACTGAAAAATCTAAAAAAACCGTAATATGTCTTGAAAGTTAAAACCTAATTGCAAGAAATTGACGCCAATATATACGAACTCATAACAATATGAAACCAAAGAAATTATAGGCGTCAATCCTCTTTTAATTGCTATCCAATTCACTAAAGTGTTTTCCATTGAGAACTTGTATAGGCGAAGCCTCTGAAGTCTCCATCTATTTTTATTTTATTTTTGTTGAACTCCAGACTCTAGTTTCCATCTTTGAACAAACGTATAATATCAAATCGGTTTTAGCTTATTGTTATAATTCGATTTTATTTTAAGGGTACTTAGGTATGTGCAAGCTGGTTTTTTGATAAATTTGAAAGATATTATAAAAATGACATTGTGAAATTAAAGACTATATTTTGTCTATAAGCGATATAAAAAAAAACAGAAAAATAGTGGAAAATGCTCTTAATTAGAAGGTACAAATATTATTTTTTTGGGTCCAATTTGACAACTTGATGACGCCCAGTGCATACAAACAAAAATATTAGTCCCAACATAGGGCTTTACGGATTCCCTTATGGCCCAGAAAGCCTCCTGATTTGGGCTTCAATTTCTTTGTCAAACTCAATCCCTGAAGTCATTTCATAGGCTGGGCCCTGGGGCCTCTTGTAAACGACTGAAAAGAAGAAAAAAATTTCGTGAGCACTCGTGAGCCTGCCTACTCATAGAATCAAATGAAAACTAATGAAAAGAGCTTGAAAATTTTGAATTTTAACGATAAGAACATAATAAAGGGTAAAGTAAATAGTACAATGATTGACTTTTTAGTGTAAAAATGTGATTTTTCGTTAAAGTTCCTTAAAATCAAAGGCATGTGGTGATCAATGAGTACAACAATCTTCATCTTCATGAATCAGGCAAATGGCAGTGAAAAATAACTTTTATGACACAAGTACATTATTGTCATGACAAGAATGACTCATATGGTATAGAATTTACAGATATATGCTACCGTAACGTTCTATGTTTATAATAAATAAAAGTGCAAAATTTTGTCACATCAATGATGCTAAACACATTAACTAACCACTATGAAGTGGCCAAATGGTTGAGAATGAATTTCATGGCCGTATTTCACAAGCACATCTTGGATTCGATTCCAAATGCTGGTAAATTATACGATGGTGATCAGAGAGAAACTGAAATGCTTATGCGAGTCTTTTTAGACCTAAAAAATATAGACTATCGTGACGAAACTATCAGCTAATCCTCTTTTCTTAAAAAAATAAATAAAAGAAAAAACACCATACAACTGTGTACATGTGACTTATAAACCACTCTCCTACATAAGATTATATTTTTAACCTAAGCTGTCATACTAGCGGTGTAACGATGCCAC